AGATGTTTCAGTCATTTTTGGTGTCAAAGTGAAAACAAAAAAACGATGCAGAAAAGAAACATTCAAAAATAATAAATGTCAGTTGAGTAGCTGCGTTTCTATTCACTGTAAAACTGAGCAAATTGGAATTACGAAAATACATCTGATCCTGCTGAAATCTGAAAATAATGGTTTTTTTATTTGTATATTTTGTATAATTTTTTTTATTTTTCCTGAAGTATTTTTCCCAGTGTTCCTAAATCTGTTGTACATTTCAATGGGATTTTCTGTGGCTTTCCAAAGCTTTATCAGGAGGAAGGTGATGAATCAGTAATATAAAATAAAGAAAATTTAATTCCTTCTTTTGCACTGATTTAAATGACGACATGAACAGGAAGTAAGCGGCAGCAGAGCCGTGTTGTCTGCAGCTTCCTGCCAGCTCGGCGCTCCGTCTCATTTCCATCTGAACGTTTCACCTGCAGCCTCTGTCAGGTAAAATCGGCTCCATCCATCAGGCCTGTCAGGCTGCAGTTAGCGGCAGGAAATGAGATCCTCAGACAGTTTCCTCTGTTGATGAAGAAGCTGTGGTGAGTAATTAACGGAGGAAATCCTCCAGCCTCTGAACGGCGGATCCAGACTGATCCTCTGGGTTCTGGGATGGATCACAGCACAGCGACTCTCTGGAGGTGAAGTCACCGTTTGCTGCGACACACTTAGGAAACGCAGCTTGACCCCTGACCTCAGGTTTTTCCACACTTTGTTCTCTGATCTTTTACTGCCTAAAAAACCTTCAACAAAGAAATGCTGATGAAAACAGTGATGCTGTGGGCCATTTTTACCGTTTTCTTTTGCACCACAACAACCCATCCGCTAGCAATATCCACATTTATTAAAGCTGTCAAAAAAAAATATAAATCAGATCTTTGGGCAGCAGCTAGAATTGGACTGATGCAGTTTTTTTATTAATGATATTCGAGCTTTATACAGCATTTCTTAATTTATTATTTTTGCTGATTGCTGCTGGCTAGTCTGAAGGAGCCGAGTTGTGAAAGCTGCTCTGTGAGGTGGAGGCCCTGCAGCTTGGAGGAGGAGCTGCGTCTCGAAGGCGGAGCTTGGTCCATCCAGGCGTTTTGCACAGCTGAACGGTTGCCATGGAGATTAAGGGATTTCTCAAACATGTATGAAAGAATCAAAGTAACACTCCAGGTTTCTTTCAGATGAAGAAATAACATTATAACAAGATGTAAAGTGGATTTAACATGACACCGCCCCTTTAAGGCGGGTCCTGCCCGTCTTAAAGGGGCGGGCGTGCTGATGGTTCCGTACCTGGATCTGCAGGGGCAGGTTGGCGCTGACGGTGTACAGCAGCAGCTTGGTGGGTTTGGGTCGGCACATCAGCACCAGCTCCAGCTCCATGTCGCCTCTGATCAGCAGACCTTTGGCCAGCAGGCCGACCCGGGTCACCCCGCACAGAACCGGCGCTCCAGCTGGGCTGAGGCAGAGGAAGGGCGGCCGGCGCCCGATTACTCACAGCGCCAACATCCCCTCTACATCTGCACAGGGTCACCGTTTCTACGGTGAACCCACTGAGTGTGTAACACCGGCCCATAATCAGACTCACTCCGTCTCTGCGGCATCTTCCTCCTCCTCATCACAGCTGGCCGTCTTCCCTGGCGAGTCCTTCAGGCCGTCCATCCAGTCAGAGACCTTCTTCAGAGCTCCCTCTGTGGTGGACACCAGCGCCTGGACGGCCTCCAGCTGCTCCGGCGCCGGGTAGACGCCGGCGTGTTTGGCCATGACATGGCGGTCGTCGTTCGCAAACGACCGGAACGACCTCTGAGGGCGAGAAGAGAGAGAAAGCACAGCAGCTGGAGGTTACCATGGAGATCATTCATTTATCACTGGAGACACTTTTATACGTATATAAACCAAATAAACAGCTTAAAATCAGAAAGACACAGTTCAGCGATGTGATCCATTAATGTTTTTCTAAATCCAATTAATCGATAATTGTTAGAATAATCAATACATTAAATCAATGACTACAGTAATTGTTAGTTGCAGCTTCGCTGTAATCAAACCTTCATCGCCCAACCGCCCACATGTGTAAAACACCGAGGCAGACGAGTTAGACGGCTGTTTTAATTACAGCTGCTGCCTTTCTGAGGAAAACAAACGATCCAGTTTTATTGAGCAGAGCTGGTTCTGGTTCTGGACCTCTGATTAAAAACTGCAGACATAAATCCAGGATCTGCAGCAGAGTTACAGCCACCATAGAAGAAGACGAGCTCTGCTGATGTGAATGATGAGGACGGCGGCCATATAAACGCTCATATGTTGATGTTTTTTAGTCGTTAAGTGAAGTGGCATTTTCCCTCCATGACGCTCATTTCCAGGAGTGTTTCCACTTCCAGCCCGGCTGGACGCCGCGCTGCAAAGGTCATCAGCACAGAACCAGCAGAACTTTGGGTTTTATGCTGCAGAGAGGAATTATCAGCAGCAGATCATCAAAGCAAAGCATCACACAGATAATTAGTCTCCACTTACAGCAGGAAGCTGTCCTAACAGATAAAAACCTGGACTCTTTCAAGATGCTCTTATAAAAATTATCTTTTCATATTTGTTAAAATTCTCTTTATGTTGTGAAAGTATACATCATATAACCTGTGGGGGAAAAAATGAAGCTCCTCTGCCTTGTCCCGGTTCTCCCATTAATAACTGCAGAAATACACTCAGAAACAACCAAACTGTGCATTGTAGAAAGAAAAAAATGTAGTAAACTTCTGACAAAAAAATCTAAAATTTTGAGATCTCAGAAAATTTCTAGAAAACAAGGAAATTTGACAAATAAAAAAATTGCTAGGAATTTTAAATTATTCTCAAATTATCTAGAAAGTTGAGTTTCAAAAGTTAAAAATTTTCGACCTTTGGTCATTTCTGAGTTTAATCCCAACATTTCAGAATTTTTAAAGACAATTTAATTATTTTTCATTATCTGTCTATAATGGTTCTAATAAGTCGACAAACCAATCAGAGCCAAGAGGAAAGTCTTAGCACATTTAGCAGCGTGTACCCAAGTATGACTGACAGCGCTAAGGCCCTCCCACTGGCTCTGATTGGCTGTTTTTGGTGCATTTCTTAAAAAGCAGCTCAAGGAGGAGGATGAGATCAGATTTTTTCTGTCTCATATTAAATGATCACAACATGATAGCAGTTTTAACAAATATGTAAAAAAAAACATTTTTATAAAATTTACAAACTGCAGCTTTAACTGTGGTGTCAGAAATAACAGAAACACCTGAAGCATCCTGAGCTGCAGCAGGTCTGAGCATCATGGCCCTGATTCAGCTTCAGCTGCTCAACTTTGACCTCTGTGACATCACTGAGCTGTCCTCTCTCCGCAGCAGAGTGAACCGGGATGTCGGGTTGTTTCTGCTGGAGCTCTTCCATCTACCGACCATCAGGTCCAAGGTCGCCGCTCCGCCTCGCTCCATCTTCTCTTCCTGTTAAACTGCATCCCCCCTCCACCCCCCGCAGCCTGTAAGCGCTCCTCATTACGGCACATTATTTATGACGGCGCGTTAATAATTCATGGTGGTTGTGAGGGGAGTTGTGAGGTCGTTCATCACAGCCCAGCTAATCTCTGAGCTGCCAGGGGCGAAGGAGAGCGAGGGTCGTGTCGACAGCCATAACCCAGAAAACTAAACATTAACGGCGCTTAGATGAAAGATTAAGACGTCAACATGGATTCTGGATCGGAGCCATTTGTTCCATCAAGGCCGCTACCTGCAGGATGGAGGAGTTAGACGACGCTCACTGACTTAATTAATTACATCCTCAGTTTGCCCGTAGCTGACATTTACTTTAACGTGACACTCAGAGCAGAGAAAACTGCTTTAACATTTGGTTTCCCTGTTAAAAACCTCCAGAGGAAGACAGACGACAGAACAGTTTTCAGTGAGAAGCAGAAAGACGTTATTGATGTTTTCAGGGTGAGATTTTTCCAGATGAAAGAACAAAACGCCCCCTAGCTGCAGGCAGGCTGAAGTTCAGGAAGATGACGGCTTTCTGCTAGCTTCACACTAGCTTCTTCTTGGCAGATAACTTGAATCTTTCTGATGCCCTGTTGACGATTTGCAACAAAACTTTTGATCTGCGATCAAATCAGAACCATCAATCCGCCTTCTGAGACACTTTTGGTCCTTTTTGGACTTGACAGAGTATCTTCCCCCAACACTCAGCTCCTTCAGACTAGCCAGCAGCAATTAGCAAACACCTGGTGGAACAGCGGAGCTCATTATAGGAGCTGTTGCTCAGAAAGACGCTGGTAAAAAAGTTCTTCAGGGGTTAGTAGAGGAGCCATGTTGGGATGACTTCCTGAAGGTGGAGCTTCAGAAAGAGCAGGAGATTCTTAAAGAGACCAGTGCCAATTTCAAGACAGTAAATGTTGATGTCATTTGACATATATCGGACTTAGTAGCTGCATCTCCACGAACCATACAATTGTGCAAATTAAAATTAAAAAAAATAAATTTGCTCACCGGAAACACCAAAATGTCGAAAAGTTGTCGTTTTTCAACAAAATGTTTTTGCGCCAGATGAGGTGTTTTCTAGTAAAACTGCAATGGAAAAACATTTTTGGTTCATGATCAGCAACCGTTGATGTTACCACTATCAGAAATGAAGAAGACGACAGGAAGGAGGAGGAGCTTATTTTAATTTCATGTTTTATCTAATAAAAACGCAGCAATGGTGAATTTAGCAGAATATAGACAAAGATTTTACACACATTTATAATGGAAACGCAGCTGGTGACCAGAAACCACTGGAGACTGGGACAAACTGGGATTTCTACCACTGATTCACCCAGTAAACACAGGGTCTCACCATGTCAGGGCAGTGTGGGGGGTCAAGGGTCAATGGGGCGGGGCCTAGGTGAGGACTAGGAGGACCAGTGTCCCGTCGCTCGGCCTCCTCATGCAGTCCAACGCCTCCCACTCCTCAGCCTCTCAGGACCCACTGTGAAGGAAAACACACCAAACATGGGCGTCAGAAACCGACAGGTCATGGGTCGTATCGGTTGCCACAGTGACGTAACTCTGATCTTTGGTTTTGGACCGTTTGGTGCAGATGATCCAGGATTTACAGCTCACTGTGAAGCTGCTCACTCATATTAAACCTCCAGCTTCCTGTTGTCTGTTTCCTGGATCAAACTGCAGAACCTCACAGATTCTGACAGAACCCGTCCAGCTGACGGGTTCTGTCAGCTAGTTCGTCTGCAGAGGTTCTGAGATTTCCTGTTGGCGTCTGAATGTTGGTGAGTGAAACCAGTTCATGTGGTTTGGACCTGAAACCTGAGATTTTTTTATGTCTGGTTTTAAATTCAGCTGATAATTTTAAATCTCACCGTGTGAAGAAGGAAGACAGACCTTCTGTTTAATTTGATCCAGTTCACCCTCATTTAGACGGGCCTGGTTGGCAGTTCTATTCAAATATGAAGCACAAAATAAAATAATCCAAAGTGGATCAGATCAGAGTGTAAAGGAAAGATGAAGACTCGTGGTTTGTATCATGTTCAATTATTCATAATTAAATTAACTCTCAGAAAGGTTGGTACATTTATTAACAGAGAAATTATTCCCTGCCTTCTTCTCATTTTCTCAGATTTAACTCTCGTTTCAAACAGTTAAATCTGTTGTGAAATTAATTATTAATTAATTTAATTAATTAATTAAATTAACAAATTAATTGAAATTAATTTGTTAAACACAGTGGAGGGTCCGTCATGCTGCGGGCTCGTCGTCTTCATCCCCAGGTTAACCTGGTTCCTCTCTGACGGAAACCAGCAGCTGAACAATGTAGAAGAACCAAGGCTGCAGTAAATCTCCTCTATATTCATACTGCAAAGAGCCGTCTGCAATAATTATTGGATAATACATTCCAAGTGTTATAAAGTTGCATTTTCATGCTAATGTAATAAATGTAAAGGTCACAGAGTGATGGCAGCACCGATGAGAAAGAGAGAAAAGAGGAAAGGCAGACATTCAGAATGATTTCATCTCTGTATTCACCAAACATTTTCTGCAGAAACAAACTAAGAGTTTCCAAACATTTCCAAACCAGTTACTGCTGGGAAAGATGCATCGATCTGTTGGATGTTTAGTCAACTTCTGATCACGATGCTGCCAGACACATCCCACTGGGAGGAAACCAGTCTGGACTGGCAATGAACTGGGAGGCCCCAGAATGAGCTGGAGGATGCTGCTGGAGAGAGGGATGACTGGGATTCCTTCTGGATCTGTTGCCATGGCACCAAATCATTCATTCATTCATAGAGGAGAGAGGAGGGAGGGAGCGAGGGAAGGAGGACAGAAAAAAACAAGTAGGCAAGAAAAAAGAAAACTAGTCAGAAAAAGAAAGATGAAGCAAGAAAAAAAATAACAGAAAAAAGAAAAAGCACCACTGGAAGAGAAAAAGAAAAAACACTCCAGGATTGGAAAAAACAAAAAAGCACAAAAAACAAAGGAAAAAAGGTTAGAAGAAAAAGAATAAAAACAAGAAAGTGAGATGGATGGATGGATGGATGGATGGATGGACGGACGGATGCAGATTTTAAAACCTGCTGGATGCATTTATTACATCATTTACTGTTTGTTGTTTATCATGATAAATTTCTTGTCATGATTAGATTCTGATTTAATGTGAAGTCAATAAATTCCAACTAATGATGTTTTAAAGGTTTTCCAAAGGTTTGGTTGGTTTGACTCAGAGCAGAGAAAGAGAAACAGCAGCTGCGATGGAACAAATGTTTTGGTCCCAATCAAACCAGTAAACTGGACAGTCAGCCTGAACGCAGGACGAAGAGCATCGTGGCAGGAAAACGTTTAGCTGCTGGCTCAGCTGTTACCTCTGCAAGCCTAAAAAACTGAGAACATGAAGCTAAAAGTTGATATAGCAACAGAAATACAGAATGTCTTATAATGCAGCAGAGCTCTGATGTTTTCATATCTACCATAAGTTCAGGCCAGACACTGAAGGTCGAGTGGATTTACTTTACCGCTGCCTGAGGTTTTATTGGACCTCATGTGAGCCGCTTTCCCTGCTAACCTTGCATCTCGAGGCGATTAAACCAGATAATCAGGAAAACAGTGATGACTTTCTGAGGACGCTGACAGCAGCGGCAGATGGTGAGCTCAGCATGTGGCGAAAAGACAACGCTGATTAAAGAACAGAAAAAATAACAGGACAGGAGGGAGAGAGCAGGTAGGAAAGAGGCTTTTTATTTCCTCTGCATGAAAATAGTCTCTGACCATGGAGCAAACCTGCTTTAAAACCCAGGGAGGATGGAAACAGCTCCCAGAGACCCGGGTTTATTTGCATAAGCTTCACATGAAGGAACGTTGCAGCAGGACCTCAGAATGCCCACCATACGAGAAAAGACCGAGAAATCATTTCATCTTATTCAACTAAACTATTATCATTAAGCTGAAGAGCAGCAATTAGACACTGAGGCCAAATTAGGTTCCCAGTTGTTGAGCTGTGGCGCTCGTTAGAAAACAAATCGCTGCTGTTGGTTTTTAATAAGAGAAGAACAGAACAACACAAACTTTAGTTTATGAAGCAACTTTCACAGGTCAGAAACCAGAAAGGCTTGGAGACAAAAACACAGAAAATAAAACAAAAACAGGAAATTCAAAATATCCGACCATCTAAAACTAACTAAAAGTCAGTCAGACTCATTTTGAACCATCAGTGGAGATCAACATCGTTTTTATTCAAACACGTAAAAAGACTTAAAATAATCAAAACCAGATGCAGTGAAGCATGAATAATCTAATTTAATCCAGCTTCAGACAGCAGACGTTTAAGTTAAGAAACATCACTTACCTAAAAAAACAAAAACCAAATGGCTTCTGACTCAGTGACCCGACAGAATCCGAATCAGAACCAAGGATCCTGAGCTCTGGTTGGACAGCAGAGTCCAGAAGATATTTTTTATTCCAGTTATTTCATTCTGTAGTAATGAAGGTTACAGTTTTATCAAGAACCGGGTGAATCGCATGTAATCTGAGCCACACACTCGCTGCACACACACACACTGCACACACACTCTGCACACACACACTCTGCAGACAGATGAGATTTGTAAATATGCATATTTACAAGTTTACATGATTAAACTTGTAAATATGTCCAGTTCGTTCTGATGTGTGACATATTGATATATAGTTGCTGATGCATTGCCCAGCCCTGCTTTAACCGAGGCAGAGACGTCCGTTACCAGCTGAGAATCTCTCACTCAGGAACTTAAAGTTTGTTAGAAATGAAAATAATGAGCTGCTTTCTAAATCTGCACAAACACCTGCAGGACCCAGAAGAACAGCAGCCAGGAGGCCTAAAGCTTTCTGAGACGGTGAGTAAAACATGAAGGTATTGTGACCTTAAAGACTCTGTTATCAGTGAGTGATGCTTTCAGACAAACAGCTTCCCACAGCAGAACCAGAGTCAGAGTCACAGGTCAGACTAAATGGACAGGAGCGTCCAGCCGGTCCCCCTGCAGGTGTTCAGGCCCTGGATCCTCCTGCTGTCCTCAGCCTCGTTTTATTTTGGCTCGTGTTTATTAGGCCGGTTTTACTGCCGGAAACTTTCATGTGGAGGCTTTTATGTTCTCACAGCACTTCAAATAATTCCTCCTGTGAGCTTTCAGCAGCCGAGGTGGGAAGGTAAAAACTGTTCTGTCATACAAAGCATTCCTAACATTTGATCCGACAACAAAAGGCAGCAGCTCTCCGAGGCTGAACCAAAGGCTGGGGATGACACACTTCCTCACACCTGGGAGTTCTGCTGCTCCAAAGTCAGGAAGCAGTTTGTACCTCTGCTTTTATTAGGCCTGTTTCTCCCAGCGCTGCAGCAGAGCAGCCATGATGCCAACGATGGATCAGGAGAAACCTGAATGTTGTTCTTCTAACAGCAGACAATTTATCTGCATTCTGATAAATAAATGAGATTTTGAGCAGAGGAGGATTTGTGTCACTTCTGCACAGCAACAGCGTGGGCGGGTTGAACACACACACACACACACACACACACACCACTGATGGCTTGTTTGCTAATGATGTGGATTTTAATGATTTCCATCAACATAACCTCTACATCCTGTTATCTGAGGGATGAGCAGCAGTAGGTGGCGACGCAGCAGATAATCAAGTTGCTCTCCTGCAGACGGAGACGCCGTCACCAGAAGGTGAAACTTCAGGACCAAAAGGTTCTGATGGCGCCGAGAGAAAAATGAAAGAGTCCAACCTAATGGGTCGGCTTGGTTTTAACATCTCATCAGTGAAACAGCCAACCAACGGAAGCAGAATATTTTATTCAGTATTAAGGAATTGTTGACTTAAAATAGGCTCCTACTTATTTGTGGTAAGTTACTTGTCAGTTATTTTTGTCTTGTTTAAAGTGCATCAAGAAGACATTTGCACTCAGAACTACAGACCAAAAATACTTGGTAAGTTTTTGTGTTTTCAGCTGCAGGTGTTGCTGTTATTTACAATGAACAGGAATCACTGAAGGAAAGACATCTTAGACAATAAAATATCTGATCATTTAAAAAAGGAATTTAATTATTTCCATAAATTTTTGTATTTCTAACATTGCATAAAAATGGCTAAAAAGAAAAATCTGCAGAATGTGCCAATTTTTTGATGTGATTGATTAATCTATTGATTAATCGATAACTAAAGTGTTCTCCACTGCTCCTGATTATTTCCTCACCATACATGTCGTCGTCTCCACGGACACTGAGGAGGAACCAGAGAGGCCGGTCAGCTGCAGCTGTTCTCCACCTCTGGGACGATCTGTGTGGGCGCTGGTGGACCATGATGCATTTCAGAGCAGGTACAGTAACTCTGAACATCATGACTCGCTGCAGCAGAACATTTCACCAGTCGACCGACTCTCTGACCTCCACAGACGGACGAGTTCGGCAGCAATGGCAGCTGCATCAGGAAGCCACCGTCGGCATGGCGACATGAACGCATCAGTCAGGCAGGCTGGGTCGGTGTTTAAGACAAACACCAATCAGCTCCCAGCATGCACTGGGGTCAGGCCCATGGAGGCGTTTTGGGACAAATAGAAGGTGGTAAAACTGAGTTTGAGTGGAAAATCCTACAATTAGTTTATCACCTTTAAGAAGCTGAAATCCTGGATCAGAGAGAGTTTCAATTCTAAGTTAAACATTTCAATTCCTCAGACTTCATGGACACCCGATGGCACAAAAATACTTTTAAAGAACAAGCAGTGATATTTTTATATATCTTTTGGATTAAAGTCTGAAGATATGATGCTGGTGGTTCTGAACAGGTAAAGTTCAGCTGGAGAAACCTGAAGATCTCATTTTCATCTTTCTGCTTCAGAACCTCTCTGGGACTGAGCCGGCATTAATTAGATCCGTTTTCTCCTGCAGTGACGCGTATAAATGTGTCTATTGTGGAAAACTCCATCAATATGTTGGAGTTAAAATGATGTGAAACTCAGAGGAATCCATCATTCTGTCCTTCTGTGACTCCAATGAAAAAATGGGTTGAATTCACTGATTATCTTCCAATTAATCAAACAGTTCATGAAAAACGGCGCCGAGTTCATCAGAAAGACGGTGGATGTTTTAAAAAAATCTAAAAAAAAAAATAAAATAAATAAAAATATATAGCTTTACTCTTTTCTGAGAGCATAAAGGTGTTTTCATGTAAAATTTTGTTTATTTCTGCAAATGAACAAAACTGATCCTAAGATCTCTGCACACTGTTGTAAATTATTAATTTATAGCCATTTAGTAAATTTCTGCTTCCTTAAATTTATTATTAAATGAGAAAATTTAAATCCTAAATGTAATAAATTGGAACCAGAAATGAATCGTTTCTGTGAAGGTAATTTTCTAATGGAATATTTTATTTTCAGTTTTATTCTTTTCAGAGGCTGAGCAGATAAAACTGTAGCAACTGAAAAACAGAATAAATCAAAACATTTAAGCAAATCCTTCCTCATCTTAGAAGAAGTTGCGTTTCTGCTGCTTCCGTCAGTTTGTGAAAAATGTCACGATATGAATTAATCAGCTTTGTTTTCAGGTTCACATATTTCCTTCAGTTATTAAAACTCCAGGATGTTGTTATCAGGTTCAGAGTTTCAGTCTGAATGAGATTTATGTCTGTTAGCTCTCCGCTAATATAAACCCAACTTTCCAACAAACATCCAACAGAAACCAGCAGATACTCCTCATCCAGGTCTCTAACCCAGATTAACCTGCGTAATCCAGCAGCCGCACCGCAGGAAGTCTGCCCTTCAATAGATTTAGGAAGTACAGCTGTGTGACGCCATTATGGTGCGTGTGTGTGTGTGCGTGTGTGTGTGGTTATGAAACAGCAGCTTTAGAGTTATTTTCTCAGCAGGATTAGACCTTCAGTAATGCATTAATGGCTGCGCTTCGTGCAAACGGCCAGAAAACATTCAAATCGCTCGTCCCAGGGTGAAACTAAAGCAGGGTGGGTAAAACATGGGGAGGGACATGAAGTTAAGTAAAATGTACTGATGGATTTAGTTTGAAAGAGTTGCTGAAATTTAAATATTTAACCTCTTATTTTCAGTAACTCAGGTAAGATTGGAGATTTAACAGGAAACTTCCTGTTTTTGGGAAGAACTTCCTGATCCGCACAGGAATGTTCCAGAAACACCAGGTTACATTTACATTTCATTAATGCTGCTATTGTTTCTGTTCATGTGAATCCAAGCCAAAAAAAAAATCACATTTACAAACTAAACTTAATGCAACATAAAACCACAGGAAATGTTTGTTCACACCTGGAGAATCTGAGTCGATTAGCTGAGCCGACCAGCAGGACGAACTGCAAAAAACTCTTAATTTTACCAAAGTGTGTCGGTCTGGTTTCTGGTGCAAATATCATAGTACACTAGAACTTACAAAGTCGAACTTCTTTCACCTGAAGAATCTCCAGGATTAGAGGACTGATGTCTCAGCGAGATCTAGAGAAACTCATCCATTTTAAGTGAAATAATCTGCCTGTGGAACAAATAGATTTTCATTGATATTAAGGAATTATTCACGTTTCTCCAGTGCAGGTAAAAATACCTGATAGATGCAGAATCTCCATCACTGTCAACATTAAACTGGCTGAATTTCCCGTTTCCTTCAGAAACAGTGAAATAAAAACAGGTTTCTGCTCCATCAGGTTATGACTGTAACTTTACCATCACACACACACAAACACTGCCATACACACCTCAGAGTGTGTGTTTGAGTAAATCACCTCGTACTGCTTTCGGCCAATCAGAGCAAAGCGACACCTGAAGTGAGTTTCCAGCAGCGCCTGAAAGCAGCAGGTGAGTGTGTTCATGGTGCAGGTGTGTGTGTGTGTGTGTGTGTGTGTGTGTGTGTGGTAATGGAGACATCGTGAGGCAGCACACGGCTCAGAAGCGGCTCGGCAAACAGAAGGTGGAGAAACATTTAAACCCGTCCAGACAGAGTCTCTGCTCACCTGGGAGGATTCAGGACAGATAAAAACAGAGAAAATATTCAACAAACTAAGTCAACATTAATATTACTGAGCAGTTTTATGGAAAACAGAAACATCTGAAGCATCAACACCCTGATGACACTTTATTGATTTGATTATTGATGGGGAGGGGCATCGACTCTTGGGGGTGAAATGAATGTATGTAGCTGAAAATAGACACCAACATCGGTAGCCTACAAGGTACTTGTTAAGCTTAAGGTTCTGTATTGATATTAGCTAGTCATCTTTTAGCTAACATTACCTGCATCCAGCAGCTTTACTCAACTCAGTCGGTTAGTTTGGAGGGAAAAACTGTGAAAAGTTCTTTGCCTTTTGCTGATTTGCTGCCGTGATTCTAACACAAACCTACGTAGCTCCGCCCAGCAGCAGCAGGTCTTCACAGGTGGAAACCCAGCGCGAGCGTCGTAGCGCTCATGTTGCGTTTAAAGACGGCTCGGAAAAACAGGTTACAGGCCGAGTGCCGGAGGCCGCTGGGCTGGAGCCGGTCCAGCTGCCTTCAGCACTCAGCCCAGTTTACTACAGCCATTCATTTCCAGAACCAGAACCAGAGCCAGGAGCGGGTCAGCTCCCTGGCAGCAGCAGCAGGTCAGCTGGACGCCTGCAGCAGCAGCAGCAACAGTAAAATTGTCCTAAAACAATCCCAACATGCTTCTTTTAGTCGGTCGTTACTCTGTTCTGAGCCGTTTCAATTCTCTGCAGTTAAAGTTCAAAGTTACTGTCAACATGTTTACTCTCTGTTTTCCATTCATAATCCATTTAATAACATATTTCATCAAGGTTCCAGTTAATCAGAAGAAAAACAGAAAAATTGTATTTCTGCTTTTTAAACTCAACATTTCATCTGCTCTTCATGCAGCTCCTGCTGAGTCTGGGATTCCAACAATCAGAATCAAATCCTGAGATGGTAAAACATTCACACCCCAAGCCTGGCTCTGGTTCTGCTGGAGGTTTCTTCCTGTTAAAGTGCAGTTTTTCCTCTCCACCATCGCTAAAGCTAATTTACTCCCAGCCTGATGGTTTCAGGATATTGAGGCTGGAGTCATTAAACTCTATATTCTCTTTGCATTGAGATCCTGGTCCGTTTGAAGCTGCTTCCTACAGAATCTTAAACCAAAAGCATGGTTTTAATAATTAAATGCAGCATTAATGTTGTCCTGCTGCTCATTAAAGACTCTTCCTCTATGCAGTGACTGAACACCTGCTGGTTCTTCAGAGTCTGGATGTTTTTATGTGTCAGTGAAGGGAATCCTTCAGAACAACGTCTCCTGTAAGTCGCCCTCAGTGGAACTGGCTTCAGTCGCTTCCCTCCGGTTTAATCTACAGTCCCTGGTGGAAAAATGAGAAAAAAGCCTGATTGGACTCCACAGAACCCTGACCCAAACAATTATCACCATGGTGATAATTGTTTTGTGATGGCTGTGGGCAGATTAGTTCAAGAACGAGGCCAGGTGAGGGGAATAAGTGCTTCCAGGGGATCGTCTAATCAATCTCTTTCCGTTTTATACATGCAGCAGCGTGGCAGGACTGAGGGAGTCCCCAGAGACACACACACACACACACACACACACACACACACACACACACACGTCAAAAGGCAGGCTAAACCACATATACCAACACACACACTGCAGCTGAAAGTGAGTGTGTGTGTGTGACTCCAGTGAATCAGCTGTGGAGAGCAGCAGAGATTCAGCAGGATCTTTGTCTTCATGTGAGGAATCTTGTGGGTCATATGGACATAAAGTTTATCACGATATTTTCTGGTAATATTGTTATAACGATAAAGCGGTAAACCATTTATTTCTGCATTTTTAGGTAACTGTCTGGCTGTGACTGCATGGCAGCTATTATAGCTCCTGAAAAACATTCCCATTAGTAACTATGGATGAACTGATCAGATATTAGTATCTGAATTGGTCCGATATTGTAAAAACATTCCAGACTGAGTAACAATAACAATGTCCCTGATCCATAAGGGCAGATCTGCCCACTATAATTCTATGCTTTATTATTTATTTGACATTATATTTAGGATTCCTAACTGCATTTTCTGAGCCATTTAAAAGAAGATTGGCTGCAGATTATTTTTATGTATTTATTATTTATTCCACATTGAATAAATAAGCCAGTGTAGAATAATTACTCCTAGCTGCTCTGACTGAACTAATTAAAGTTGTTTTAACTGTGTGACCAGCTGCTGAAGCTGTTGGTGTGTTTCAGTTTACTGTACTGGTCCAGAGGTAGCAAATACATTTGTAATTTAGTACATTTTCCTTCGAGTTTTTAAAAAAGAAACATTTTAAGCTAATTCAGCTGTTTTTCTGAATCAGATCAGCATCAAGCGATACTGATCCTCAGATATCGTATCGGAAGTGAAAACTGGATCGGTGCATCCCTGATTCTCCATGTTTCTTTTAGGTCACCAGTCACAGATTTGTGTCACTAAACTGCACACAGTTCTGAATTTAATCATATTTTCAACAGTGTTGATATTTATTGATGCTCTCAAAAAACTAATCGATTATTTCAATAATTGATTATTCATAGTAATCCAATAAATCATTTCCAGTCATAAACATTTCATTTCATCTAATCCAGAGAACGGTGATGAGGCTGAAGGCTTTAATGCTGCTGAATGGGTTTAATATTCAGGTTCTGCCTGATGCCGGACCTGAACCGGTCAAAAGGTTCTGAGTCGGGGAGCGTTCGGGTCTCCCTGTGGAAGGATTTCCTGTTGGACTACCGGATCAGGATATCATGTCCACACCTAGTCCTCACTTAGCAGAGCGCTGCTGTGTCCTCTTCAACACCTGAAGCTGTGGCTCGACCCGAGGCGACCCGGTCCGATACCGGGCTCTGGTTACAGCTTCTACTAACAGAGGAGTCCTACGCTCCCTAAACGCACCGGCTCTGGGCTGAAACCCAGAGAATAATTCTGATTGGCCACCAGATGGTTCAGCAGGATAACATCCTCCACTGAACACCTGAGGAGACAGGAAGCTGACGTTTCAATTTAATCCTCGTTAAGATGAAGCTGTCAGAACATCAGAGCCGGCCGAGCCATCATCATCATCATCAGTAATATCTCTTTAACAAGCTTATTATTGGTATAGATTGAAAAAGTTAATCCTACTAGAGATGTAACTAACAATTATGTTAGTTACTGATTAATCTATCAATTATTCTGATGATTAATTCACTAAATGAATAAAAAAAAAAACAGGTACAATCTGTAGATTCTTCATTTAACCATTCAAGTCTGTTTATACAATATTACAAATACATTAAAAGTTCTGGGGAGACCATATTTACAGACAGTTGTTTTTATCTTATATGTGAAATGTATATATATTTTTTATATTTCTAGCTTAATTCCTGCTATGAATGTCCTGTTCTTTCAGCAAATGATCTTTTTTGAATCTGTATGCTCTAGCTAATTATTAACTGATTGCTAAATTATTTGATGATTACTTCAATAAACGATCCATCCTGATTAGCTAAAAGATGACTAACATCGGTCGACACCAATGCTGAAGCAGATTTATTGTTCATCTCTACTAAAAATCCAGGCTAGTTTTTCCTTTATGACCTGACATCCATCCATCTATTTTCTAACACCCTTGTCCCTTGTGGGATCAGGAGGGTTGCTGGTGTCCATCTCCAGCTAACGTTCCGGCCGAGAGGCGAGGCCAGAGCTCAAAGTATTTCCTATTCCAGGACAGGAAATTTAGCTGCTAAATTTTGGGTTTTTTGGTCCACAGAGAAAACACACCTGAACCAGTTTATTCCATTAGTTTTTATTGGGTTTAATTCTGTGACGGCTCTTAACTGTTGTTTTAACTTCATTTAGTTTCAGCTCATTTTCCCTCCAGCTGCTGCAGAGACGTGACCGTCAGAAACATGTCAGTCATTTCCCAGGAGAGTCGGCCGTTCACAGGAGCCGCCATGGCTACCAAACCGCTGCTCCAACAACCGCCAGGGGTTCAGGTTATCATCAGACTCACCACAATTCACTTTAAAGAAAGCTTTTAGAAGTCGTCTTTTTTCCTATGAGAATTTGTGCAATTTTAAGTCAGATCAAATTAAATTCTCCAGTCGTGCAACTAATTAATCTACAAATGTCAAAAACAAAATCTGCTTCATGTTTCAAACTAAAAGCAGCTGAAGTGCAGTGGAATCTCCCCAGTGGCTGTTTTGCATTCAATCGGATTAAACGTTCAACTGTGATGCAGCAATAAGGATTTCACTTTATTTAACCGTTTGCTGCTCTGTTACCTGTTACCAACAGATTCACTGCTACAATCAAGTAAACAGAAACATTTTCCACTACTTATCATTAGAGCCACCTCATGTCAGCATCACTCAATAAACTTAGGCCTGTCACAATAACAAATACTGTTGCTTTGATACAATTTTCAAGTAATATAATGATTATAATGATAATGGCATATTAATACAAGAACATATTCTCAAAAATCAATCAACTTTAATTCTAATTAACATGCAACACTAGAACAGGAAGACATTTAAAATTTTAAACATTTTAAAAATATATACTACAGACTCTGTAAATAAAATTGTCCTATAAAAATGATCTAGTTGAGACCAAAGCACATGGTCGGGACTTTAACTCATTCATTTCAAATAAATACATAGATTTTAACGCATTTTTCCTTTTACATAAAGGTTCCAGTCGGAACCTTTGTATTCACATGTTTCTGGTATGCCTTTAAACATGATGCACAAGCGTCATTCAACCAAAATCGATGTACTTAATTTCTGCTTCAAAAATTGATGTGATGAGACGCTGGAAAAAAGTATTGCTGTTAGAAGGAGTTAACAAATCAGCGAAGCTATTCAAGCTAATCTGATGGTTGAATGACAGATTTAAAACAATACATTAGTTTTTGAGTTTATATGTCTATATTTAATAATTTTGCGACAAAATGAGTTTTTAAACTGAAAATGTGGTTTATTTTGGAGATTATTATGTAGGTCATCCTGCTACCCAGAATGCTTTGCAGGGTTTATAGATCCAGTCTGGGATGCCAGAATGAGTTGGAGGTGTTTCTGAGGAGAGGGATGTCTGGGGTTCCCTCCCGGATCAGATAAGGATGAATGCATTACCAAAAGCCAACGTAAACATTAAGTTATTACAGTAAAGATCGCATATCCACCTCATCCATTTAAAACCAGCAGCCAGGGCGCTAAAACACTCATGATTGGAATCGGGGAGCAGGTGAGCCTCCAAACAGGTGCAGCAATTTCTCCTGACCACAACTACAGCAATAATATTCAGAAACTAGTTTAACTTTATTTACAAGACACCAACAAGCCTCTGTTCAACCAGCTGTTCTGACCAAAGGGATAAAACCTGAGCTGCAGGAAACCTACGGGACGGTTCCGTGTTTTCCACGCGGTTAACGGCCAAACTCCCCGTTAAAGCCGCTCATTTCAACAACAGTCACACTTTAACAGAGTCGGTAATTCAACAGGAAAGCAGAGCCAACAGAAGGCTGAAGTTACCCGAGCAGCGCGGGGCAGAAACAGCAGCAACCCCCTCCCTCAGTTCATCCCGAAAGCAGCCCCCCAGAAGCGGACACTTACCTCCAGCGAGTGTCCGCTGACCACCGCGAGGTGAACCGATGAGAGGAGGGGGGCTCAGCCGGTCACAGCGCCTCCACAAACAGTTTGTTTCTGTCGGCTGCTCGGTGTCCGGTGACAGGAACTAAGTTTGTATCCGAGTAACGGCTCCCGAGGCGGAGGGTGAGCGGGAACAGCAGCGACGGTGTCCGGGCAACCTGCTCTCTGAGCTCCGAGCGGTGCAGGGGGTAGCGGAGGCAGCGGGCTGCGCATGCGCACTGCGACAGCTACTGCAATATAACAAAGATTCCCTAATAAAAAGATGAGTCACTCAGTATAAAGAGTAAGGAACATATTTTTTATCAGATTTTTACTCCTTAATAGTTTTTTTCCCCACAAAACCACCATATGTTCCTATGAAATATGGTAGGAAAAAGTTAAACATATCAAAACATTTGCTTCATGTGTACCTCAAAAGCTTTTTTATATATCGAATTTTGAAGAAAAATGCTTCTCCTGGCCACATGGAAAAATTGTTTCACAGGATGACAAATATGTTGTTAAACAGTAGGATGTATGAAGGAGATATGGTTCGTTTCCATCACATTATGAAATTATATATGTTTAGTTTGCCAGAGATTTATGCAAACATTAAAGAACAGTGAGATTATAAAACCAACATGCCTCCTGATACTGAAGCTGGACTCTTCAATGATCATTCTCAACCCAATCCTGTTAGATTTTGTAGTCATGAAGAAAACATTTCATGGAAATGAAGTAAATACCACTTCAATCTGGAAAGACTCAGACGGAGAACAAGGAACAATTAAAAGATTTAATGACAGCAATGAATAACAGTTCTTTGGCGCTCGGGCCCCGGCAGCTGATTTGAGCTGAGATTTGATGTGAACTCGATGAACATCCCGATAACTGATTAGGGATGCTCTCCCCCCGGGGCCCGACACTGGTGGTGGTGGTCAGGAAGGGTTCCATCCTGGAGAACCGAAGGATGAGGGTGGAGATGGGGAGGTGGTGGGTTGAACGCAGCTGGGAAGCGTCTGACGGTTTGGGTATGGATCCTTTTATGCAGAGCCTGATTGCTGATTGAACGAGCAGGGTGAGGTCCAGGCTGAGGACGGGGATGAGCATGACGTCGATGGGTGAACGGAGGGGGCGGAGTCTTCCAGCTTGAACTTCAGCTAAAGCTCCATCTCTGGTCCAGGTGACTACGCTATGCTTGTTAACAATGTTTACACTTCCATAAATAATCATATGAAATCTTAAAACAGTCTCTATACGTAATAGATCCCACAAAAACTTTATTTCCCTTAAAAATATTTCCAAAAGCTCGTCTCATTATAAATAATAACAAGAATTACTACAAGTGACAATATCTGCCAGTCTGGGTCATCAGAGTTATAGTTGTTTAATTTTTAGTACAAGTGAATTCAGGAGCCTTAAGCAAGTTCACCTGGAACAGCCAAACTCTCTTGCTGCTGTTACGCTGCCAAATGACCTTTTCAGCTACTTTTCTTTCTCATAAATTCACAAAATGACTAAAATGGTACAACTTTGATTGTTTTTCCATGTGTATATTGGTAATATATTACATTTATGTTTGTGTTTCAAAAGAAAGGATATCAAAAGTAGGAATTTCTAGATTTCAGTGTAATGTGATTTTCTCATCTTGGACCAAAGAGCTGCAGGGAAACAGGAGCTTTTTGCTAAACCTTTTAACATTAAACTACAACAAACACACTTTGAAATTTTAACTTTAGCCAAACTACATCAGGAATAATGTAAAAACTGTCTCCACTGGATTCAAGATAAAGTTTTATGACCCATAACCGTCCAAATGTTTAAATCAAATTCATCTGGAGCCTTTAATGTTCATCATTACACTGAAATCTGCGGCAGAATAACTGGAGATGATTCAGAGACTGGTCATCTGAGAAAGACTGGTTTCAGATTCACTGTTTTACTGTAAAAACACACAACAAAGTTGGTTATAACTGTTTTCCAGAGACGGGGCAACAATCTTTAACTGCATAAACTGAGACTCATTCTGCAAACCTCATGTTTTCAACTCATGAGGAAAGAAACATGTTTTAGGCTTCTGGTGTGAACAATTCTGCATTACATGCATCTCATGCACAGTTTATAAAGCTTTGGAAAAATAAAACTATCATTTCTAAGCTTTGATTTGCTTCTGCTTGCAGAAGCAGAACCTTCAGGTTTCATCACTGGCAGGTTTTTATTTAGGAACTGAAGCAGTCTGAAGTTTCTTTAGTAAAGGTTGAAATTAGCAGCAGTAACAGTATGCTGTGACCTCATTCACATGATCTGAGGTGTGAACTTTGTTTTGAACGTTTTCTCTCTGATTCAGGATCTCATCCTGTTGTGTGAAGCTCATTTAAATACAACAGAGAGGCAGTGAGATCTGTGTGAAGATTCACAGCTGAGGTGTGAAGATTGTTGAAGTTTTATTTCTCCCACTAATATGAGCCTCTTTAAACTTAAACTTATGATATGAAAAGTGGGGCTTTTCTATGGTTTGGTTTATAATCATCCTTTGGCAGCACAGAGCCTCATGTGAAGCCATTTAAATCTCCTGCAGAGCAGCAGAAAACAGATTTTTGACAATAGAAATTATTTCTTCAACTCATTTGTGTAAAGAAATGCTCTCTATGTTCACAGAAATAGTTGGATTTAAGATGAAAATGGTTGTTTCTCTGACCTTGAAGGCCATTCAAAGCAAAATAATTTCCTTATTAATAAACAACAGGCAGCGTAATTTCATAATGAACCAGAGATGCTACCTTGTCACTGTAGCCACTTGGACTGCGCCCACAGTAGAGTTGTCAAATTATGCATACAGTTGTGCATAATTATATTTATTTTTGATTAATGGAAACACACCAATTAAAAAGACACACTTCAAAAGATGTAGAATTAGATCCGGTCTTTCTAATTTTAGGTCTATATCCAAAAAACTCTTTGTTTACTAAAAGCGAACAACTGTTGATAGACATGTGTCTATTAGAAGCTAAGAGACTGATAGCACTATTCTGGAAAAGAACAACAAGTCCAAGTATCAAACAATGGATCGAACACATGCTGAAGACTTTACCTCTGAAACGCATAACGTATCTCCAAAAAGGGAAAAGCGAATTATTTGAAACCATTTGGAGACCATTCCTGAATTTTGTTGAAAGGGTGGACTTGTCTCAAGAAGAACTCAGCTAAAGTCAAGACTTATGTTGGACCACATTGTTAAACAAAGGAGCCTCAACAGTGGACTATTGTCTCCGGTATGCTTAAAAGACTTATGCAAATGTGTACCTATGAGGGCGTTTTGTTGGTCTTAACGGTATTGGTTGTATGTTTTATGGCAGACATATTTGTAAAAAACACAATAATAATAATTAAAAAACATTGATGGAAAAAAAAAGACACACTTGTTTTTTGACATAATTTTGCATTGGGATGAGTTGGGTTCTTTTTTGTCGGTATCAAAGTTGATTTATTTCTCAAAACTTCAATGGAAATACTTTTTTTTGCATCAGAAAAGATACATGATCAACAACCGGATGTTACTATTGGCACAAACTATGAAGTTTCTTATTAAATGAAACACTCTAATTGTGAACAAGTGTTTTTTTGTCATTAGCAGAATGTTGACAAAGTTTTGTTCACGTTTGTAAAGGAAATGCAACTAAGGCTAAAAATCATCCTCCTACCACTTCCTCTTGTCTTCTTCATGGTTTTCTCGCCAGTAGTAACATCCGGTTGTTGATCATGTGACTTGTATTCATAGGTGCTGGATCAGGGGAGGGATCAGGGGGCCATTTGCCCCTGATCCACTTTAGTCTGATATGGAGTTTACATGTTTTCTCCCTGTGGATGCAGAGCTGCTCTCTGGGTACTCCTCCTCCTTAACCGACTCCCTGTAACAAGCAGGAGGCAAAAATCACATTTATGACAAAAAGGATTCATTAGAAAACCTGATGGCTTTAATCTCCGTATTTATTGTTTCTACTGTTTCAGCAAATTATTTGTGTTCCTTTTCGAGGTTTAGATTTAAAAAATAATTTGATTATTCAAATGTGAGGCAGCTCCTTTCTAACTGATAAGGAAATTAAACTGCAGTAACAGAAGCACAGAGTTCACCTGAAGTGTTACACAACAACCTGTCTGACTGGAAACGTCACTGAGAGGAAAATGAAACTATTTTAACTGAGTTGAACGGAGCTGAGACGCCATTACAGGCTGGAGATCTGAGCTGAAACACGAATGTTTACTGGAATCTAAAGAAAAATCTGCAGAAACTTTGACTTGGTGAGTTCTGGTTCTGGAGGATTTCAGTCCAAAATGGCTGAAAACACTGCTCTTCTGGAACGTTACCTGAGCTGCCATGTTTGTTCAGAGACGTTCAGAGATCCTGTGTCTCTGAGCTGCAACCACAGCTTCTGTTCAAGCTGCCTGCAGAAATTCTGGGAACAAACTGGAAACAAGAACTGTCCCATCTGCAAAAGGAAATCTTCTAAGGATCCAGGAATAAACTTCTCTCTGAAGGAACTGGCTGAATCTTTCACTGGAAGACAGAAACCTGGATCATCAGAGACAGAAACAGGAGCAAAGCAGCTGATGGTCTGCAGTAAACACCAAGAAGACCCTAAACTGTTCTGTGAAGACGAGCAGAGAGCTGTGTGTCCTGTCTGTGAGTTTTCTCTCCACCAGAGTCACAAAGTGGTTCCTATAGACGAAGCAGTCAGTGAGCTGAAGGAGCAGCTGAAATCTGACTTAAAGTCTCTGCAGGACAAGAGGAACAAACATGAACAAGTGGAGAAAACATACGATGATGTGATTCAACACTCCAAGAAGCAGGTGTTGTCCACAGAGAGACGGATCAGAGCAGAGTTCAACAAGCTCCACCAGTTCCTGAGAGAGGAAGAGGAGTCCAGACTGGCAGCTCTGAGGGAGGAAGATGAACAGAAGAGGAAGACTATCATGAGAGAGATGAAGGTGATTGAGCAGCAGATCTCCTCTCTATCAGACAGCATCTCTGCTGTTGAAGAAGAGCTGCAGAAAGACAACGTGTCGTTCCTCAGCAGTTATGAAGCCACTCAGAGCAGAGCCAGAGGTCAGAGGTCACTGCCAGATCCACAGCTGGTCTCAGGAGCTCTGATAGATGTGGCCAAACACCTGGGCAACCTGTCCTTCAGAGTCTGGGAGAAGATGAAGGACCAGGTGAAGTTCAGCCCCGTCATTCTG